ATAGATCAAACACAGTATAGTATTTTCCATAAAAATTTGTGTTGTTATTGATCCATAATTACAACTGAATATCGGCAAGACAAATGTACTGGAAAATGAACGCCCCAAGTTCAGGGACGTGTTTAAATAAGGATACGCAAGCCGATAGAAGTAACAAAGTCAATATTATGCTTCATAAAATAAGGAATATGTTATTAAATTGTACATCAATATTAAATGATGTATATGAGAATGCATATTAATCTATTGTCATAAAATCTACACAAAATCATCAATTATGTAAATGTCTTATATAACTATAAATATTGTTTACTGTTTAAAAGGATGAAAGAATTTAATCATTTTTACACTACATCGATTTTTAATCAATTTTGATTAAAAAATTACAAAATTACTACGCAAAGTAATTTTTTTCAAATTTTATACAAATATGATCTCAAATGATACATTTAAAGGCATAAAAACATAAAAAAGTTATATCGTAAAAGACAGTAAAAAATATTGCAAAAAGCTGTACATAGAATAAGACGATCTCACAGGATCACAAGTAACTCAAACGTGCATTGTCCGCCATAAAGACGGTAGCGCGCTTAATTATTAACAAGACTGTATGGGCAGCAGCGATGAATGAATCCTGTTGCGCAGACCGGTAGCTTTCATTGTAAAAGCGTCGATAGCTACTGTATAGTCAGTCAGGCTCGTGGGGTGAACGCCAATGCGCGAGTTTCGCCCATTATTTTTTTGTGATTTCAGTCAAGAATTGAAACTAAAGGAATTGTACAGTACGATTATACTTAGATAGAATGATTGGTGTTTCAATTTACGAAGGTGTGTTGGAGAACATGCAGAAGAAGAAATGTTTTCGAAACGAAAGCGACGGTCGGTAAAATCTGAAGGGAGCAGGCGTGGACTGTGGGTTCGAGTCGGGCGTGGGGATGAACTCTACGGGGAATGCGAGAGGGAGGAGGACTGGGGCGCTTCCTGTGGTTGGCACTAGCCTAAAAAAGCTCCATAAACAGAATTGCGACCGAATGTCTTTTCAATGCAACGAAAATGGTGAAGTGTGGGAAAAAGTGGGCATTGAGTAAAGGCTTCGACAGCTCGAACCATGACAGAGGCGTCGGAGGAGTAAGTAGTATTATAATGCTTGTGGTACATTCTGACGATTGTTCCGCTCCCAAACCTGAAATGTCGGTGACTATGGCTTAACTTTTGTGCTCCCTTTGATATCACGTTTGTAATGCGGCACCTGACAGTTCTGTCTGACCTCATCCTACCTATTCTCCTGTCAACATTTTCGACACATCAATTGATTCGTTTCATATTTCTGGAATTTTACGCGATTCTCGGAATAATTCACTCCCTTTCGAAGATGTGTCATGTTCGTTGGATGTCTGTAAAAATTTACGCAAGTAACGTATGATTTCGGTTGAAGTGTTGGTGTGTTATCCTGTGTTCATGTAGGGGTGACCGTTCATTCATTAAATCGATGTCGGCGCGTAACATCTGCTATTTCGTTGTATATAACAGCGATTCTTCGCTTTCGTGTACCTGTCGGTCTTGCGCGTTTTTAGATTGTGTTTTAAGCAATTTCAATCTTATACCAACTTTAAAATTTTTCGCCAAGCGTAAAATTGTGAATAAAATTTGGTTTCTTGTATATCTTGGGTGGTATAAGTAAATTTTTCTGTGTAATATTAACTGTGTAACATTGTTAGTTAAAAATGAAATATAATATTAATTTTATTCGTGAAAAAAAATGTGAATATGTTTTTACTTTGGATGAAGTAATAGTACGTAAACTTTAAATATTTCCTTAAGTTATTACTAAAGCATTTTTTAATAAATGTGTTAGTGTTGAAAAGTGTAATAGTAAATTAGTTGTCAGTTTGTAATATTAATTCCTTGACATTTTGTTTTTAGTGGTAACTATCTGGTGAAGGTTTGTGCCCAGGTAATGACAAGGGATGATAGTTCAGGTGGTTGGGTTCCTCTAAGTGGAGGTGGTTTAGCAAATGTTTCGGTTAGACGAAGACCAACTTCAGATGGGCATCAATCTAATAATACCAATGGATCTGGTATATCTACTATGACTGCCTCTACTACCAATTCTACGCACTCTGTATCAACTACAGCTGTCACTAATACCCAAAGTCATGGATCTTCTAGTAATTCTCCACCTGGTGCAACTAAGAAGAGGCATGAATATCTTATTTATGGGATACGCATCACCGATCAATCAGTAA